ATAGAGGAACAAGACCAATCATGATTGAATCGATGACAAAGAGGAATAAGTTTTTGTTTTTTGTTTTTCCTTTCTATTCGGCGGTATTGTGTTAGCAAGGGGATAGGATTTAATGAATCAGCTACTGATGAGGATGGGAACAATTAGACTACTACTTAAATACTTAACTAATAACTTGTATTATAAATAATAATTCTAGTTGTAGGGAACTAAAATACTTAAAAGCTTAATATAATATTAATATACATATTAGCCTACTAGTACTTAACATATATACATACGTAACATATATATATAAATAAATAATTATTAGCTATAATACACCATTTAGAAATAAAAGAGTGGCAGTGGTAGACTAGTTTAAATAGTTTTGGGTCACATAAAATAATATAATTACAGACCGTATAGTAAAATTGTTTTATTTAACATAATATCTATTTTATAAAATTTTATTTAGAATAATAATATTTATAACAAAATACTCAAATAACCGGGGTATCACAATCTACCCTCCTTAAAGATGCTTCGTCCCCAAAGCATAACCATAGGAAAATACCGGGTATTACACACTCAACCACCAAACTCGCGCCCTACTGTCATGGGTCAGCACAGAGGCTTGAACAATCAAGGAAATTACGGTGCTCCCGGAAAGGTGTTCGTCATGAGCCGCACTCAGGCCGAACTTGAAAACGAAGGCAACTTCGACGAAGAAAACGTAGCCCCAGGAGACGAGGACCCCGCAAACCAACCAGGAGAAAACCAAGAAGACGAATTCTACTTAGGTTCATTAGTGAACCCCCTGTAATCACCCTCGTAGTAAAATTACTTGTTTAGTTTAGCTACTTCAGAATTATTATAAATAAAATGAATTAGCATAAAAAGGACCAGACGATCCCGGGGACCCATGAGTCACCAGAGACAATATCCACTAAAAGACAAAAGTCCAACAAAGAAGACCGGTCAAACCTATTACCACTAGAAGAAAGAAGAGACAAAAATCTAAAGGGGTACCCAACAAAGAAAACTAATGTTACAAATAGGTATTAAACTCTAGGCCTTCCACTTAAATGACCAAGTCCTTAACCACTAGACTATGAGTATTTCTTATAACTTCAAGGGAACACACCCTTCTTAAACCCTCCCTAAGTCCCTAAAACCCACAAAATCCCCAAATCAAAAACCCTTCTTCTTCTTCCTCCTCACACAAAACCCTCTCCCCCTCTCTCTCCCTCTTCCCCAACCGTACCGCCGTCCACCACCCAAACAACACCACAGCTCGCCCCACTAAATGAACCGCCACAGGTGACCGCTGTCCATCGCCCAAGCCACACCACCGCCCCGTGCCCTGCCGTCGATGCCCCGGAGACCACCCGGCTACACCTCGCTGCCATGAAGCCCGTCATCGCCGCCACTGCCGTGCGCCGCCCGGCCTCCTCCCGTTGCCCGCTGCTCCGCCAGGCCGTCACACCCCTGTATCAACTCCGGATCGACAGGCAACGCCGCCCCCTTCGCCACCGGAAAAAGTCTCGTCGCCGGAACCTCGCCGGAAGTTCGTCGGAAAATGCCACCACCACCTAGAGAGATCTCAAAATGCCAAAGAAGCCCGTTGGTATCCGAATCCCGGAATGGAACGACGCCGATTACACGGTAATCGGAGGTAAAGCCCTCGAACCCGACCAATTCTCTCCGGAATTGGTCGATATGCTTAAATTGCAAGGGCTCTTGGATACCTATCTCACAATCAAGGGGGATACGTACCCCGAATTGGTAAAAGAATTCTATCACCATTTAGTAGCCGTCAAACGGGGTGATAAGTTAGAAATCGCCGCCAAGGTCCGAGGCAAGGTGTGACACCCCAAAATCCAAATTCAATTAATGGATTAATTGAGTAATTAATCCTATTTCAATTAGTGAATTGATTCCTAAAATCCTGAAAATTCAATACTTGGGGACTAGTAATTGACTAGTCAACCCCAAAGTCAAGTTGTACCTTGAGCTTTGTAAGGAGTTCCCTTGTTCCTTACACTTCCTAATGTTAGTAAGGGCATTCTTGACCTTTCACATAGGGTTTGTAACCTAACCTAGTAGACATCTTCATTCTATCCCTTACACTTTCTAAAAACCTAGCTCTACCCTCTCTCTAAAAAGGTGAGTAGTTTTTCTTCCAAGCCAAGTTGGGACCTTGCCAAGACTTCAAGAGTTGCTTCCAAGATTCAACCTTTCTTATATTTGGGCATCTAGGAGGGTACGATCTAAGTTCATCTTGTGTTTTTGGTTTCATCTTAGGTGTCTTTTCTTAAAGGTAGGATCTTTATGATCTTTTGGTTTGTTCTTGAAGTGGGTTTGGAAGGTGAGCCTTGAGAAGAGCTTATTAAGGTGTAAAGTGAAGTCTTTTAGTCTACAAGCGGTAACCCATGCTGTACTAAATCTATTTTGCTTACCTATATGTGATTTCTTGGATTCTACTTGTGTTTTGCTATGAAATGAGAGTGTTTATGCATGACTTGTGAAAATGCATATCTAGAGCTTGTGTTTAGGGTTCATTTATGCCATTGCTTGGCATTTCCTATGATTCAAGTCATTTTGTTGTATTGGGTGAGATTTGACATGTCTTGGACTTGAATTTGAGTTTGGAGGTGAAAATTCGCGATGTGCTTTGTTGTGGTACAGGTTTACCCGCGGGCGGAACGGCGGGTAGGGGTCCAACCCGCCGCCCACCCGCGAGTACACTTCTTGGGCGGCCTGTACCCGCAGGCGGAACCACGGTCAGAGGCCTACCCGTGGGCCTACCCACGGGTACATGATATGGTGATGGTGGGGATTTGTTCCCCATGATTCTTTTGACTCGGTATTTGGTCTTTTGACTTCCCGATGTTCTTTTGTGGAACTATTTGAGTGTCTTCTTGATGTTTCGTATGTCTAGAACTATATGGTAGGTATCTATGTAGGACTTTGGTGTCTTGAATCGTGCTAAGTGTTCAACATTGTGTTTCGTTGAACCGTGATGAGTCATGTGTGTTCTTCGAAACTATCTTTGGTTTACCCGTTTGATAAGCATGCTAGTTTAGTGTCTAAATGCTAGCGTGTGTGTTGTTTGTACCTTCCGATTGGTTGATGATAACTTGTGTTATTCATCATTGTTGTTGTTAGGCTGTGACCCATTCCTTGATTATGTTTCATACCTTCGTTGTGATCCGTTGATTGATTCCTATTGAGGTGTGATGCGTGTGTGGCTTTACCTGGATTGCACGATTAGTGGTATGGGACACTAGTCACCAAGGTATTGCAGCGGTCCTCGTGGTGGCCATGACGTGATTATGGAGTTGTGACCTGTGTGTCAGGTTCAAGTATTTCTTGGGAAGGCGTGTGTCACCGTGTGTGTGTACGGTACCTTGAGTACTATGAAATTGGTGGTCTTGTGGGTGGTTTGTTGGTGGGGGACGACGGTCCCAGGAGGGAAAAGGTTGGACTAAGAAGTACAGGGGTCCTGGAGGTAATGGTTGGAAAGAAGATACAAGGTTGGGGGTAGCCATAAGGTTGGAACAGGGCATAAGGAAGGCATATCAACTCCTGATGGGTGATGTCACGAGGGCTCGTGTAGCCGTTGTTGTGAGTTCTTCTCTTGTGACGTGTGTAGTCACAAAGGCATGTCTTGCCTTGGCAAGTGTTGCCGTTGTGTGAGTCTTATTCCTTTGCATTGTGCTTGTCGGGTTTTGATCTATTGTGTGATGATAGATCATGCCTTGACTCTTCTTGTGAGTCATGTTGTTCTAGCGGTTTTGGGATGCGTTCACGTGTTATTGTTGAGAGTGTTGAGTATTATGTTGGCTTTTACTCTTGGTTTTGCACTTATATATATGTATTCCGTTTCGAAAATGGTTTTACAACTTATACCTTACTTATGTATGTTATTTCACATGTATTGGTGGGTTACCAGCGTTATTCGTTGACCGGGCGTCGTCCCATGTTTTTATTGTGTTCTTTCAGGTGATGTCTAGACGAGTGCGCAGTCTAGTACCCGATAGCATATCTCCTTCCGTTTGTTTTATGGCCTGTGTGCCGATCTAGTTGTAGACTTGTGACATTTGGGATAGTTGTGAACCATGCAGATTTTTTCGTAGCGTTCATCTTTGTTGGTGAACGTGGCATAACACCCCATGACTTGGATTTATGTTTATCCAGTTATCTTTTAATCTTCCGCTGTGCTAGTTGTTTAGTTGTGTTATCTGCATGTGTTAAGGCTTTTTATAGCATGTGTTTTTAAGGGGTGTTACAGTTGGTATTAGAGCCTAGGTTTGAGCCTAGAAAGAGTTAAGTCTAGACTTTCTAAGTGGCTAAGTGTGGTTTGAGACCCTTAAGCGACCTTAAGAATCTAAGTGCTAGGCTTAGGACTCTAGGTTGCGCGATGAGCTGAGTGTTGCTTTCTGTTCTTTGCTTGTTTGCTATCTTTTGGTAATCGTGTTGTTGTTGTAGAACTTTCCTCGTCCCCGAGCACGCACCCCGGAGACCCCGACCAACGAGCAGCTCGCTCAGAATCTCCACCAGCTGACTCAGACCATGCAGACGCTCAGTGAATCTTTGTTGAACAACAATCACGCTGTGCCGCCTCCTCCACCTGCTGGGCACCGTGATATAGGTCGTTTCGTGTCGGGACATAGGCCGCCAACCTTCGCTGGTGAGGAAGACTCGGTAGTCTTGGAAGAGTGGCTAAGGGTGTTCGACAAGATCTTTACCGTTGTGGGTTGCCCCGAAGAGAGGAGAGTGGAGTTGGCAACGTTTTACTTTTGCTATGAAGCGGATTTGTGGTGGGTCCATGAAGGTCCGACTTTTCTTGAAGAACCCGAGTTCGATTGGTCCGCGCTCAAGGACAGAATGCGCGAGAGGTTCTACCAGCACATGTGCGAGCCGCCATGTATGAAGAGTTTCTCCACCTGCAGCAAGGATATATATCTGTGGTTGAATACCACAATAGGTTCTTGGAGTTGGCACATTTCGCGAGGATGCTTGTGCCTACAGAACTCGCTAAAGTCGAGAAATTCGTGGTCGGTTTGAACTACGAGGCGCGAAAAGCTTTGACTGTGAGTAGGCCAAGTTCTCTTAAGGACGCTTACGTGTGTGCTGCTGATCTGTATCGCGTGCAGCAGCTTCAGAGACGATCGTACGAGCAAGCTATGAAGAGGACTGAAGGCGGAGGTTCTTCTACCTTTAAGAAGCCACGACCGAGTTTTCAGGCTAAGAACGTGTCATCTTCTTCTCAAGGACCTAAAAGGATGGAGCAAGGGGATCAAGCTAAGTTGTTTCCGTGCCGAAGATGTGGGAAGGTGCACGCGGGCCAAGACTGTCATGGCCAGGCGTTTAAGTGCTTTCGTTGCGGGGATCGTGGTCACAAAGTCGCGAGTGTCCCCAGCTAGCAAGTCAGAGAGCGTTGCCGCCACCCCCGGGAGCCGGAGGAGCATCGGGAGGTAGTTCGAGTCGCGGAGCAGTTGGAGCTAGGCCACCTGGGAGGGTCTTCGTGATGGCGCGTTCACAGGCTGAGTCGGAGGGCTTGATGGAGGAAGAGTTGGCAGGTAACCCTTTTCCCTAGCCTATCCTTGTTTTTCGCGAGCATCGTGTTCTTTGTTGTCTTGAGTGTTATCTTGTGTTTCGTAGTTGTCTATTTGAGTTACGTGGCGATCCTTGGCATATTTTTCTTAAGTAGTTATTCTTTCGAAGCTTAGTGTAATTTCTTCTTGCTAAGTGACTTCCTTAGTTTGGCATATAAGTTTCGTTGTGAAGTTAGCTATCCATCTTTGGAATGAATTGTGCTTGGGTCAATTCTACAATCCTTATACCTAGTTGTTCTTACAACAATTCCTTTGTAAACTCCATAAATTTTCCCAAGTATTCTTTGAATTTGGAGATAGCCAATTCATACCAAAAATCCTTTCTTGTGTAGCTTAAAAGTCAAGCCAAAATTTTTAATTGTAACCCTTGAGTTGCGAACCTAAGCATATTCTTTGTCAACCCAACTTCTAAACCACTTGAGCTAATTATCTTTCTTAAAACTTATCCAATTTTAATTCCATCTAAACCATAAATTCTCACTTTACCCAAAATCCCCAAATTAAATCACCTTTTTCCCCGATTTCTCTCAAATCCCTAAAATTCCAATTTCTCTTCTTCTTACCTTCTCCCCACCCGTGAGTAGCCGAAACCCCACCCCCTACCCGTAGCTTCACCTGCAACCCGCCACCACCACCTGCCCATTGCCACACCTTCGTCGTGCCACCGCCACACCGTCGACGCACCACCGGAGCTTCGTCGTGACGCCTGCTGTGTCGCCGGGAAGCCGAACGAGAGAGAGAACAGCGAGAGAGTGAGAGAGAATCATGAAAAAGAAGAGGAAAGTTGTGGGAACCTTTTGTTGAGCTTTGGGTCATCTCCTACCATGCCTAGAAGATCAAGTTTGGCTAGGAAAGCGGAATGGGTCGATACCCACTATCTTGTTCTTGAAGGTAAAGCTTTTGAACCGGAATCTTTTCCTTATTCCTTGTTGGATATGCTTAGATTCCAGGGTTTGTTGGATAGGTTTCTCGCCATAAGGGCCGAGACTTACCCGAGTTTGGTTAAGGAGTTTTACCGTCACATGGTTGTGAGAAAAGAGGGTGAGAAGCTTGAGATCATTTCCAAAGTGAGAGGTGTGAGGTTGGTGCTTTCTGAAAAGAGGCTGGCTCAGCTTTTGAGTTTGACTGCTTCCGGAGTGGCTCATTATAGTGGTCATTCTTAGATTAGTATGGATACCATGGGGTACCGGGACTACTTGAGCTACTTGTTGGGTCGTACGAGTGGTTTCACTCAAGCTTCGAGGCCGGAGAAGAAGTGGTTGACTGTGGAGCAAAGGATTTTGGTGATGTTGGTGTCGAACTGTTTGTTGCCTAACAACAACAAGAGCAAGTTGTTGGGGAAGTTGGAGTGCACTTTTGCCTTTTGTCTCAAGAATATAGTTAAGTTCAACTTGCCTGCTTTGATGTTGCAACACATGGTGTTCTGTCGAGATCACAATCGGAAAAGCCTACCGTACGGGATGGTGTTGAGTTGGATCTTGGTTAGGAAGGGTGTCAGTGTGGATGGTTGCCTTCCGAAGGCCGTGGGAAAGCTAGTGTTGGATGCCACCAACCTTCGGAGTTGTAATCTGTTTCAGCTTGATGATGGTGAGTACATCACGCTTGAAGAAGTGGCAAGAAAAGCACCCGAAGAAAGGGCAGAGTTGGCAACCGAGCTTGGAATCCATGCCGGGAAGTTGAGCCTCGCTGTTCAGAGCTTGGGAGGTGATGAGGGAGCCGAAGATGAAGCCGACCGTGAGGATGAGGTGGGAGCTCCAGAAGCCGTTGAAGCTGAAGAAAGTGACTCGGAGAGTGAAGAGAACCGACGAAAAAGAGAAGCTCGCACCAAGAGGGAGCACGACTCCATGTCGCACGAAGAGCGTGTTGTCGCCTTGCTTCGTCAACAAAACCGCATGATCGAGGAGGGTCTCGCCTACATGAAGACGTAGTTCGTCGCGGTGCACCACAGGCTAGACCAGATCGAAGCCAGCTCGAGTCATAGAGGGGAAGACGAGGACGAGTCCAAGGAGTCGGAGAGCGAGTCCTTCTAGTGTGCAGCTGTGGCTACCTTGTTCGCCTTTTTCTTAGTAGTTGTATCTCCCTAGCCGTTGTTGCCGTTGTTGGTTGTTTGTTGTTGCTTTCGCGCTTGTTTTTGCTTGTTGCCTTGTGGCTTAGTTAGCTTAGTAGTAGTAGTGGGTGTCTTGTGTTGGTTGTCTTGTTCTTGTGGCTGGTTAGAAGTTGGTGTTGTGTTAAGATAGAGTTCGTGATGCTCAATCCATCCATTTGTTAAACTCTTGCCAATCCTTGATTGATATACCATCTTTTTTGTTTGAAATTCTTGTGAAATCTTTTGAGTTTTGACCAAAAGAATTCGTTCTTGAACCTCTTGTCACAATGTTGTTTCCTATCACCGTTGCTTTTAATTCGTCGTACCCAAGCTTCGGGGACGAAGCTTCTTTGAAGGGGGAGAGGATGTGACACCCCAAAATCCAAATTCAATTAATGGATTAATTGAGTAATTAATCCTATTTCAATTGGTGAATGGATTCCTAAAATCCTGAAAATTCAATACTTGGGGACTAGTAATTGACTAGTCAACCCCAAAGTCAAGTTGTACCTTGAGCTTTGTAAGGAGTTCCCTTGTTCCTTACACTTCCTAATGTTAGTAAGGGCATTCTTAACCTTTCACATCGTGTTAGTATTATAACCTAACCTAGTAAACATCTTCATTCTATCCCTTACATTTTCTAAAAACCTAGCTCTACCTTCTCTCTAAAAAGGTGAGTAGCTTTTCTTCCAAGCCAAGTTGGGACCTTGCCAAGACTTCAACAGTTGCTTCGAAGATTCAACCTTTCTTATAATTGGGCATCTAGGAGGGTAAGATTTAAGTTCATCTTGTGTTTTTAGTTTCATCTTAGGTGTCTTTTCTTAAAGGTACGATCTTTATGATCTTTTGGTTTGTTCTTGAAGTGGGTTTGGAAGGTGAGCCTTGAGAAGAGCTTATTAAGGTGTAAAGTGAAGTATTTTAGTCTACAAGAGGTAACCCATGCTCTACAAAATCTATTTTGCTTACCTATATGTGATTTCTTGGATTCTACTTGTGTTTTGCTATGAAATGAGAGTATTTATGCATTGTCTTGTGAAAATGCATATCTAGAGCTTGTGTTTATGGTTCATTTGTGCCATTGCTTGGCATTTCCTATGATTCAAGTCATTTTGTTGTATTGGGTGAGATTTGACATGTCTTAGACTTGAATTTGAGTTTTGAGGTGAAAATTCGCGATGTGCTTTGTTGTGGTACAGGTTGTACCCGCGGGCGGAACGGCAGGTAGGGGTCCAACCCGCCGCCCACCCGCGGAGTACACTTCTTGGGCGGCCTGTACCCGCGGGCAGAACCGCGGGTAGAGGCCTACCCGCGGGTACATGATGTGGTGATGGTGGGTTTTTGTTCTCCGTGATTCTTTTGACTCGGTATTTGGTCTTTTGACTTCCCGATGTTCTTTTGTGTGTCTTCTTGATGTTTCGTATGTCTAGAACTATATGGTAGGTATACATGTAGGACTTTGGTGTCTTGAATCGTGCTAAGTGTTCAACATTGTATTTCGTTGAACCGTGATGAGTCTTGTGTGTTCTTCGAAACTATCTTTGGTTTACCCGTTTGATAAGCATGCTAGTTTAGTGTCTAAATGCTAGTGTGTGTGTGTGTTGCTTGTACCTTCCGATTGGTTGATGATAACTTGTGTTATTCATCGTTGTTGTTGTTGGGCTGTGACCCATTCCTTGATTAAATATGTTTCATACCTTCGTTGTGATCCGTTGATTGATTCCTGTTGAGGTGTGATGCGTGTGTGGCTTTACCTGGATTGCACGATTAGTGGTATGGGACACTAGTCACCAAGGTATTGCAGCAGTCCTCGTGGTGGTCGTGACGTGATTATGGAGTTGTGACCTGTGTGTCAGGTTCACGTATTTCTTGGGAAGGCGTGTGTCGCCGTGTGTGTGTGTGCGGTACCTTGTGTACTATTAAATTGGTGGTCTTGTTGGTGGTTTGTTGGTGGGGGACGACGGTCCCAGGAGGGAAAAGGTTGGACTAAGAAGTACAGGGGTCCTGGAGGTAATGGTTGGAAGGAAGATACAAGGTTGGGGGTAGCCATAAGGTTGGAACAGGGCATAAGAAAGGCATATCAACTCGTGATGGGTGATGTCACGAGGGCTCGTGTAACCGTTGTTGTGAGTTCTTCTCTTGTGACGTGTGTAGTCACAAAGGCATGTCTTGCCTTGGCAAGTGTTGCCGTTGTGTGAGTCTTATTCCTTTGCATTGTGCTTGTCGGGTTTTGATCTATTGTGTGATGATAGATCATGCATTGACTCTTCTTGTGAGTCATGTTGTTCTAGCGGTTTTGGGATGCGTTCACGTGTTATTGTTGAGAGTGTTGAGTATTATGTTGGCTTTTACTCTTGGTTTTGCACTTATATATATGTATTCCGTTTCGAAAATGGTTTTACAACTTATACCTTACTTATGTATGTTATTTCACATGTATTGGTGGGTTACCAGCGTTATTCGCTGACCGGACGTCGTCCCATGTTTTTATTGTGTTCTTTTATGTGATGTCTAGATGAGTACGCAGTCTAGTACCCGATAGCATAGCTCCTTCCGTTTGGGATAGTTGTGAACCATGCATATTTTGCCGTAGCGTTCATCTTTGTTGGTGAACGTGGCATAACACCCCATGACTTGTATTTATGTTTATCCAGTTATCTTTTAATCTTCCGCTGTGCTAGTTGTTTAGTTATGTTATCTGCATGTGTTAAGGCTTTTTATAGCATGTGTTTTTAGGGGGTGTTACACAAGGAGATAATACTCTCCGAAGGCCTCTTGGGCAAACTCTTAAAACTGACCACCACGGGTGTGTCAGATTATGACTGGAAAGGATGGATCGGTACCCAAAGCACGGGGTATAAAGATTACGTCGGGGTACCTACTAGGAAAGGAAGAAGGCTTCACCTCGGCCACCCGGCCAAACAGGAAATCGATAACCGCTGAACAAAAGATACTAGTCATGATTGTGACTGATAGCTTGTTGCCTACAAACAACAAGAGCAAAGATGTGGGAAGCCTAGTGTGCACCTTTGCCTACTTCCTAAAACACAAAATCAAGTTCAACCTAGCGACCCTTATGTTGAAACACATGGAGTTTTGCAAGACTAGTAACCGGCTTAGTCTACCTTACGGGATGATCCTAAGTTGGATCATGGAGAAGAAGGGAGTGGACCTAAGCCACACAGAGATCAAACCCGTAAGCGGTATGATCCTAAGTTGGATCATGGAGAAGAAGAGAGTGGACCTAAGCCACACGGAGATCAAACCCGTAAGCGGTATGATTTTCAATGCCCAGAATCTCCGCCGCAACGACATCTACACTACTACAGAATTCACATTTAACGTCAGTATTTTAACGTCGGTTATTTATATAACCGATGTTAAAAGTTAATTAAATATATAAAATTAATTAAAAACATTTAACGTCGGCTAATAGATAATAGCCGACGTTATAAGTAAAAAATAAAAAAAATAAAAATGGTAAACATACAACGTCGGCTATATAAATAGTCAATGTCGTAAGTAATTAATTTTTATTTTTAATTTATATAATTAATCTACAACATCGGCTGTTTGCACCGCCGATGTTGTATAATTTTAATATTTTTTTTTAAAATTATACAACGTCGGCTAATATTCTATTAGCCGACGTTGTAGGTTGTTCAAAAAAAAAAAACTTTTTAATTTAATCTCCGTTCATCACAGCAAAAAGTTATTCACACTCCCACCAACGTCGTCCTCTTCTCACCACAGCACAGCGCAGCCACCACCGCACCCCTTCCCACCGCCGCACAGCACAGCCACCTCTGCCCCCGACGCCGTCCTCTTCTTCTCACCACAGCACAGCCACCGCACAGCACACCTTCCTGCCGCCGCGCCGCCGCACCGCCGCACCGCCGCACCAAAGGTAAATCTCAGATCTGTCCTTGCTTTTGTTTTGTTTTGTTTTTTTTTTTTTTGTTTTTTTTTTATTATTTCTTAAAATAAATCTCAGATCTGATCTGAGTACGTAGGTCCGTACCTGAGATGATGTTGTGGGTTGTAATGAGTAAAATTAGATATTAGTGCAGCAATTTCCCATGGCCTTCAAAGATCAACCGATTTGTTCTTTTAGCCATTCTGGTTAGTACTGTACATTCTTGCGTAACTCATTACGATAAGCTCCTTTCGAATTTTAGGATAATATTCCTATTGCTAGTTGTTTCTTTAGATGTTCTAGTTTGTGGCTGATTTTTGAGACTTGAATCCAGTGTTGAATTTGGACATGGCTCTGCCATTCTGGATTATTGGATATTATGTATTGCTTTCTGTTATGGTGCTTGTAGAATGTTTTATATAACGCTTGATGGGTACATTTCTTTTGGATTCTTACACTCTGCTTTTTTCATAGCACATGCTCTTGTATATTCTTGTTTCATTGTTTTGGCAAAGAAATTGCTCTTAATTTATCTACAGGGAGTCGGACAAATATTTAAAGGTTGATTTCAAAATGGTTGGCAAAGAAATTGCTCTTAGTTTTTCATTTTTTCACATTACTTCTCAGCTTCTAGAGTCATTCTTCTGATTCTTTCTTCTTATTTACTTGTAGAAGTGGAGTCACAATACACTGGTGCCAGGATCGAGGGAGATGTTGTAACTTTAGATTTTGTGAAGAAAATGATGGAGGACTTCAAAAGCCAAAAGAACTTACATAGAAGGTGTTAATCGTGTTATTATTATTATTATTATTATTATTATTATTATTATTATTATTATTATTATTTTATATAGTTCTCTGTTCTTTAAATTTAAAATCATTCTATATTTTCCCATCTAAAATCTTGGATTTTATTTGGTAGATATGCATACCAAATTGTGCTGCAAGCATTGCCCTCACTTATTGACATCAATGTTCCTGAGGGGAAGCATTTCACTGTATGTGGTGATGTACACGGTTAGGTAATAAAATGAATATGGATTGGTGCACTTGTTTGTCACAATACTTACCATCTTCATGCTCATCTTCCCATTAGGTTGCATTCTTCACTTCTGTCCTTTCTCTCATATTTGGCCTCTACCTTTGGCTAACTGACATGCATAGAATATTGCATGTGCACATGCATATAACCTCTGCCGAATCCTTAACAGCAAACATGAATAAAGGAACTTTTATTTGTATTCATGCACCATGACAGTATGATTTATAGTTTGTGACTACATCTTTAGTTTTGAAAAGCTAATATCTTTGTAGGCAATACTAACTTGAAATGAATGTGTGCTTAAAGAGGTAGGAAAGAAATAAAGTAATATACTGATATAGTTGATGAGAGGGCTTATAAACATCAGGAGTTACACAAATTAATAAATATAGTCTTATTTGTTTAGAGTTCTAATTTGAAAATCATCTCTGGGTATAAAGCATTTGGGTGGTAGCTTATTTATTGATTTATGTTTGAGTCTGTTCATTCGGGAAGAGGGGGAGGGGCAACCCTGCTGTTTGACCCTACATGGCTGATTATTTGGGTGAATTTTTGTCATGGGTTGCAGTTCTGTGACCCCTTTAAAATATTTTTGACGTCAATGGTCTTCCACCTGTCATTAACCCATATCTCTTCTATATGGTGACTTTGTTGGTAGGGGATCTTCCTCTGTGTTGCTGATTTCTCTCTTATTTTTATCATGGAATTTGCAGTTCTATCATTGTTCTGGCAAAGAACTTGTATTCTTTTTGCAGTCAGATGATGATTGTTGTAATTCGTGTGAAGAAGTTCGTGAAGCATACAGAAAAAGAGGCTGGGCGATCAGAAACCCAGATTTAATAGATTAGGTTGGATTGATTGTGCAAAGGCTTTCCCATTAGCTCATTATATTGATCCTCTAGAATGCCATGGCTAAGTTAGCCACATGTTACTGTTTTTTTTTAAAAAATAATTATTATCTACATTAGCAATTGAAGAAGAAAAAGAAAAACGTATGTAGTAATATTAAAGTTTCTGGTTATCGTTTCTCTTGTACTGACTCCATGATTGTATTCAGGAGTTTAGAACGTATTAAAGGGAATATAAGCTCAATGTGGGAACATGCGGAACTTCTTAGTTCTGTAAGAGATGATATTAGTGAATACAAGGTGAGTAATCTCGAGTTTTAAGTTTTCTAATTGATGCAAGTGTTTTGTCTTATTAATCTATGATTTTTATTTAAGCAGGCAGGGAGCATGTCTCCAAGAAATCAGTTATTACGTGAGAGAGCTGCCATACATGGAAGTATTTCTCATGTAAGACTAATTGTTAGTTCATTATATTGTTGTTGCGGTGTTCATTTTCTTTATGCTTAGTTTCTTATACTGATTTTGATTAATTAAAGGCTATTTTGGAGATTGGTGGCGTACACTGCTTAATTCTGTTGTTATCTTAGGCTTGCATACATAGAAATGTGGGGAAACTCAATGTGATTTGGGAAATTATGATCTTAGCCTTTGAAGTTAAAGTAGACTGAGAAGCTGATGCCACATGTTAATATGCTACTTTCTTCATTGAAGGAATTTGAACTACTCATATAGACATTGGGCATAACTGCATAAGTATATCAGAATTCTTTTGCTAGCTTCATTGCTGTTATTTGTCATCATCTTCCTAGCAACAAAGGCAATTATATGTAAATGGAATTTCTTCTATTAGCAAGTGTAGGTGAAAAGAAGGCAAAAACTAATTGCCTTTCCAGCAATTGAAACTGTTCTAACAGTAATCCATTGCTACAGTTCCCTGGCTGTGGGCATAATTTTTTTTTATTTTTTTAATAACATAACACGTCGGTTTTTAAATAAAAACCGACGTGTTATGTTAATTTTTTAAAAAATTAAATACAAAAAACGTCGGTTATTTTGTAATAACCGACGCTAAAAGTTGTATTAATTAAATAAAAAAAATATACAACGTCGGTTTTTATTTAGCCGACGTTGTATGTTTACTATACAACATCGCTTTTTAGCCGACGTTAAAGGCCCTAAATAGCCGAAGTTAAAGGCCTGCTGTGTAGTAGCGCTACTACACCAGAGATGGACAATACATCACCCTCGAGGAGGTTTGTCTTAAACCCGAAGAAGAACGGAGAGAATTGGTAGATCAACTAGACATCTCCAACAAGAAGCTAAGACGGGCAATGCAAGAGTGTGGAGGACAAGGGGAACAGGAAGAAAGAGAGGAGGACAGTGAACCTAACCCGCCAGCACCCACACAAGAAAGGGAAAATCCGGAACGCCAAGATAGAGAGTCCATCAACGAACGCATCCTCATGCAGCTCACCCGTCAAAACCAAATCATGGATGAAGGGTTATCATCCCTAATCCACGCGACACGGGCATTAAATCAAAGGGTGGCAACAATCGAGGCCATATTGGGCACACGCGGGGCATCTAGCTCAAGATCAGGAAACCAAGGTAGACCCAAAAACCCTCTCAAGCACCACCTCACCAAAGTTCTACTTTACCCCAGCAACAACGACACGTGGAGCCACATCTCCTAACCAGGAAGCGAAAATACGTGACGTCCAGGGGTGAAAGAATGAAACCACGCACCGGCTTCGGGGACGAAGCCTCTTGTAAGGGGAGAGGGTGTAACACCCCGTGTTACGGCCTCTAACCCAAACTAATTATTTAATTACTTACCCTAAAAAGAGAATTAAATTCCATTAATTAACCAAGAAGGGTCCCGGGACCAATATATTGAAGAAGAGTCAGTGGGGGGTAGGGGGACCCGCCACCTACCACTGCCCGAATTGACGTTGCCGGCAGCGGGCAGACGACTGCCCTCCAGGCACCCGCTGCCCGGAGGCTCGTCGCCGGCGGGTGGTCCTCCACCCGCTGGATTTTCCCCCACCTTGGGGTGTTGGTTTCCCCGTTTGACGTTCCCCTGCCCCATGGTGTCCCGTCGGACTCCGTTTATCGTGCCTAAGTCTAGTATGATGTTTCGGGTGCCATTCGAAGGAAAAAGAGTCTTGTGTGTTGCATGCTAGTTAAATTGGTACCCCATTGGCCTAGGTAAAAGATGCATGAACCCTTAAGGGCATTTCTTACTATGTGGATGACCACACATAAGTTTCTTTATATGTTTTCTCCCCCCTCCCAATGTGTTAATATGAATTGCATGTGCTTGCTACGTGATATATGTGCATGACTTCCCCAATATTGGCTGCGGTCAAATTGGACTTACATAGGCTGCAGTCCACCGACTGAGCTCGTCAGCGGTGTGTAGGGCTGCAGTTGTAACACCCCGTGTTACGACCCCTAAAACCAATTAATCATTTAATCATTTACCCAAAAGAAAGAATTAAATTAGAGTAATTAATTAGGAAAAAAGGTCCACCATAGTCCGTGGGCCCTCACCTCCAAAATCCAACCCCTAGTCCAAAAAGGAATAGAATTAGCAAGCCTATAGTATTTGGACCCTAATTGGGTCTCTTAGGTATATAAATAGGGGACATAGGGGGCACCTAGAACCCACACACAATAATCTCTCACCACACAAGAAGTTCCAAGAATTCCCTTAGGAGAAATCAAGAAAGGAGAAAGCTTAGAGAAAGACCCTTCATAGCCCAGGAAATTAATTAAGGCTAAGAGGTAACCCATGTCTCAACAAAACCTATTTTCTTAGCTATGATCTCCCTCTTAGACATCCCTCTATATTCTTGTGTCTTGATGAATCGTTATGATGTTGATGATGTGATCTTGATAAGTAGTGATATGATTTTATGTGCGATCTTGATGATCTTGATGATGATAGGGGATTCTTGATGATTATGTGTTATTCTTGATGAGTCTTAATGTTTCTTGATATTAAAAGATGAGTTATGTTCTTGATGATTTAAATATGATTAGAGCCCTAGGATGTATCGTGAAATTCGTATTGTGATATTCTTGATATATTGGATGGGAATTTGCATGCTCGGGTGTTGTTGTTGGTTTAGAAATTATGATAGGATACGTGCCATATGATTCTTGCTTTTGATCCGTTAACTGTCTACGTGGTATCGTCAATTGCGCTTAAAGGTGTCTAAGCATGGTTTCGGGTTCCACAAAGGATTCCGGGGCGTTCATTGTGAAAAAGAGTCAGTGGGGGGTAGGTAGGGGTAGGGGACCCGCCACCTACCCGCGGCCAGAAATAACGCCGCCGGCAGCGGGCAGCCGGCGGGCAGGCGACTGCCCGCCGGGCACCCGCTGCCCGGAGACTCGTCGCCGGCGGGTGACCCTTCACCCACCGGCTACCCGCTGGAATCTATTCCACCTCGGGACTCCAGCTTCCCCGTTTGATGTTCTCTTGATCCTCGTAGTGTCCCAACGGACTCCGTCTATCGTGCCTAAAGTCTAGTTTGATATTTTGGGTACAATTCGTAGGATAAACGAGTCTTATATATATATATATATATATATATATATATATATATATATATATGTTGCATGCTAGTGGAATTGGTATCCCGTTGGCCTAGGTGAAAGAAGTATGAACCCCTTAGGATTATTCATAGTATGTGGATGACCATGCATAGGTTTCGTTATACGTTTTCTCCCCCTTCCCAATGTGTCAATGTGGGTTGCATGTGCTTGCTATGTGTTATGTGTGCATGATACCCCAATTTGGTTGCGATCAAATTGGTTATACCTGGGCTGCGGTTCAGAAGCTGGCTACGGTCAGATTTACACTCTCGGGCTGCGGTCCACTGTTTGGTTGCAATCAAACGTTTTACATGAGCTGCGGTTCATATTCCTGGCTGTGGTCAGATGATCACTCTTGGGCTGCGGTCCACTGTTTGGTTGCGATCAAACATTATGATGAGCTGCGGTTCATCGGTCGGTTGCGATCGACCCCTTCGTGTTGCGATACGAGGCAGGGTGCTGCGGGGCCATGTCAGAGCTATATGCGCTGACCCTCATGTATGGGCATGCGATTGGTCCTGTGGCGCCATCAAAGTGTGCTTGTGTGATGAGATACGAATTGAATGAGGATATGGATGATATGAAGTGAAATTGTGACCATAGGATACATGCTAGTATCTGTATATGCTTGGTTATAACTGTTGGCTGTGCTTATCCCTATCTGTCGAGTCTATTCCCGGTTTTAAAAGCTAGAGTTTCCTAGGATATATCTTCATGCTTCAAAATGGTTTTTCCTATATCTATATATATCTATATGTATTGTATTTCAACGCGTTGGAGTGGGTTACCAGCATCTCTCGCTGAACAGATATATTTGGCTTTCAGGCACAGATGAGTAGACACTGGAGCGCGCTAGAGATCCGGAGCGTAGAGTAGATAGTTTGCCCTTTCGGTCTGCTCGCCATGCTTATGTATTGATATTATTGAGGATTTTAGTTAGTAAGCCTGTGCACCTGAGCTCTCTAGCCCAAGTGTGGCATAACACCCCGTACTCTTATGTTATGTTTTGGGATCTAATGAGAATTTACCTTTATTATATAAACTTTAAAAGTTTCAAAATTTCGGGGTGTTACAGCAGTCCACAAAGAGGATCATAGTCCACCGACTGAGCTCGTCAGCGGTGTGTAGGGCTATGGTCCGCCGCTGAGCTCGTCAGCGGTCTCACAAGACTGCGATCCACCAACTGAGCTCGTCAGTGGTGTGTAGGGTCGCAGTCCAAAAAGAGAGTCACAGTTTACCGACTGAGCTCGTCAGCGGTGTGTAGGGCTGTGATCCGCCGTTGAGCTCGTCAACGGTCTAATCGGTTGGCTACGGTCAATCCCTTCATGCTACGGTATGAGGCAGGGTGTTGCGGGGCCGTGTTAGCGCTATATGCGCTAACCCTCATGTATGGGCATGCGATTGGTCCTGTGGCGCCACCAAAGTGTGCTTATATGATAAAGATGATTTATTTAAAGATGACTTGAATGGCGTGAAGTTAACCTGTGACCTTAAGATGTATAATGATATCTTTGTATGCTTGATTATAACTGTTGAATGTGCTGATCCCTATCTGTTGAGTCTGTTCTCGGTTTTAAAGCTAGAGTCTCCTAAGTATATATCTTCATGCTTCAAAATGGTTTTCCTATATCTAGATATATATACATACCTATATTGTATTTTAATGTGTTGGAGTGGGTTACTAGCATTATTCACTGAACAGATATATTTGGCTTTCAGGCACAGATGATTAGCCACCGGAGCGCGCTAGAGGACCTCGGTTTAGATAGATTAGTCTTTCCTTTCGGCCTGCATGCCTTGATGATGTAGTGACATTGTTTGAGGATAATTAGTTAATGTAGCTTGTGCATCTGAGTTCTCCAGCTCAGATGTGGCATAACACCCTAGACCCTTATGTTCATGAAAATCTATTTGAAATTTATTAATAGAATTGCTTTCATATTATAAGGTTGAAAACTTCTAAAAATTTCGGGGTGTTACAGCGGGGCTCCTCATGAGCCGCCCCTCTAGGCTACTACAAAGCCGGGCCTAGGTAACGGCCCTCTCTCCCGGCTCTAGCCGGCGACCCCCTTGATGGGCCGCGGCTAGGGCCGTTACTCTGGTCTGGTGCACACACAGTGTGCACCAGATAAA